AAAAAAAAAAAAAAAAAAAAAAAAAAACCTAAAAATTGAAAGAGACTTCTGAGAAGACAATAAAAAGTCAAGCAAGTTTTGAAAGAAAGGGTTTGTAAAAGTCTGGATTCCACACGAAGAGGAGCCATGGTGAAGTTCTGGATTCCTAAGTAGCAATCTGAAGGCTGGATGGGTGGGGGTGCTAGAAGGGAATGGGCATTCATGAACAGCTGTTGTCTATTTCGTGTTTATGTATGAAGCAGAGCTAGTATGTAATGTGTCATCAGATTATGTACACACTCAGTGACACAGAATTTGGTGTGAGGAATACTTGCTTCAATTCACAACTGACAATTTCTAGCTCTCACCTTGTCCAATTTGCTTGATCTACCTAAACATTGGTTTTCTCATCAGTAATATGGAGATAACAATAGGATTTCCCTTAAAAATATATTTTGAGAACTGGATCATGTTTTTCCTCAAAAAATAAATTATAAGGTATCAATACTAATATATAGTAATTTATAAGGAACTACTGATTTGTTCTACAGAATTACAAAGCACACCACTAGCTGCAGTAAAGGCTAAGGGACCACTCTTTCTGAAAGGAGACTGCTTGACTATGAGCAAGGATGCCTCAGTAGTTACTAAATAAATGAATCATAAAAAAATTGCTGTTATCAAAATTGGAAAATTATATGTAATTAGAAGGCTATATTGATACAAGTCTCACTTTTATAAGTCATTTTATATGTTTTTGTTTCTCAGTGTTTCTACTCTCAACATTAAAATGACAGAAAACTGATCTATGCTATTTTCACAGTGATACTTGAGAAAAATCTTTATCACCTTACATTAACAGATGGTTGCATCAACATGGGGTATTTTTGCTCTGAAAACATACATATATTCAAACCTTGTTTTTTAGTTCATTCACTTCCTGTCCATGGCTTCTGCTTAGCTGCTCTTCTAATTGTTCTAGCTGCATTTTTTGTTGTTGCTTAATAGCTTCACATTCACAGCTCAAACTTTCTAACATGCGACTCTTGAGCTCAACTTCTCTCTGAAGAGTATATTTTTCTTGTTCATAATTCTGAAAATAGATTCAATTACATAAAAATCACTTAAAGCTATTACATATAATCAGTTCTCACCTTCAACTGGCTTATTCCTGTTTCATACATTTGCTGCTTTCTGAGGTACAACCACATGTTAAATCCGGAATAACTTTGTAGCTCATCAGTTTTAGTGAATCCCTAAGGTATATTCTGAAAGTACAGTAATGTCAAAAACACTCAGGCTGAAGTTAGTACAGGCATCAACTCTAGAAAAGATGCAAGGTTACCACTTTCCAATCTGGGGCTCTGATGCCCTAGTAACCCACAATGCAAAATATAACTGGGGAGGCATTCTCTGGATTCCAAAATCTGAATAAAACTTTGTATGATGAGTACCATCAGGCTACCTTAAAATGTCCCTGCTTTTGGCTGGAATATCAACTGTCACAGCAGCATGTCTTATCTCATGCTGACCAAAAACTAGGCATTTGTTTGACGATTAGGAAAATAAGCTACTTATTATTTAGTACAGTTTGATAGCACAGCCTTCAAATCTGGAGTCCATCTGAGAGAGAACATGAAAAAGTAAAGGGACTTTTGGTAACAAAAGACCAGAAACAAGGTCTTAGGCATTCAACCTTCCATCTATTCCACACATACTTACTAAGAACCCAGCAAATATGCCAGGTAACAGAGAAACTCAGATAAATATAAAAAATGATGCCTGACTTCAAGGAGGATCAATGTCTAGAGGAACAATAAACACACAATTCAGCAATTACATTAAGTCACAGTAACTGGTAAGTGCTAGCTCAGAATACACTTCCTGAAGGAAGTAATGTCTATATTGGTTTTTAAAGTATTAGGATACATGCTTATATACTACGTTCTGATGCAGAGAACATCATAAAGTGAATAATTGTTTAACTAGTCAGATCATTCAGGTGTCTGAGCTCCACACAGGATCAGATATCATTTGCATTTTATATGCAGGGGATGTTCCAAGACCCTGGGTGGATAGCTGAAACCACAAGTTGAACCAAACTCCATATATACATATGTACACACATATCTTGATGAGTTTTAATTTTAAATTAGGCAAGTTAGAGATTGATAACATAACTAATAACAATTATAATAATATGCTGTAATAAAAGTATGTGAATATGATCTCTCTCAAAATATCTCATTGTACTATGCCTAGGTGAGGAGAGGAAGTGAGGTGGAGCAGGTGGGATAAAGTAGGATGGCACCGGATTTCCTCACACTATTCAGAATGGCATGCAATTTAAAATTTATTATTTACTTATGGCACTTTCTATGTAATATTTTTAGACTACAGTTGTCCAGAGGTAATTCACACTAAGAAAAGTGAAACTAGAAATAAGGAAGGGGCCTACTGTATGGTAAAGTCCATGATACAGATATGGTAATTGCTTCACTACCCTGTAGAAGGCATTGACAGAGAAGTATTAGTTCAAACTCCTTCATGAAGCTTTAAAATATAAGATAAAATGAAACTAGAAAAAAGACCTAAAACAAGTAACATTATTTCTCCAAAAGCACTTCCACTTTTGATAAGTTATTTCTCCAAATAATTATATATAACATGGTTTTATTTTCTACTATTAGATTTGTAATTCTTTGCTTTGCTTTATAATTAGGTATTGAACTCGTGGTCAAGAACAGTACCATATGGAAAAACAAGAGCTGTCATTAGTAACTTTTACCTGCTATATTTATAATTTTCAATTTTAGTTTATACCACTGAGGATTTACTAAATTAAACTGATTTATTCATTCTTTCAATAAATATTTGTGTGCAAAGCACTAGAGAATATAGCAGTGAACAAGACAAAATTCTTAAGGACCTTGCAATCCTGGAGATAATTAGAGTTAAGAATTAAGAGTGACTGATGCTACCAGGTGCAGTGGTGCACACCTGTAATCCTGGCGGCTCAGGAGGGAGGCAGGAGGATCACAAGTTCAAAGCCAGCCTCAGCAAAGGCAAGGTGCCAAGCAACTCAGTGAGACCCTGTCTCTAAATAAAATACAAAACAGGGGTGGGGGTGTGGCTTGAGTGCCCCTGAGTGCAATCCCTGGTAACTATACCCCCTGAACTCCCCCCACAAAAGAGTGAGTGATGCCAACTTTACATTAAAGTTAGGGCTGGTCTCTATGAGTGACATTTAACTGAAATCTGAAGATTGAGGATTCAATCTATGAAGAGTGGGTGAGGAACAACTAAGCAGGAGGAAAGAGCTCATATAAACCCATAAGGCAAGACTAGGATAGCCTGAACAAGGAAAAGCAGTTTCCTATGTTTGCAAAAGTCCAGCAGAAGTCAAATCACATAGGGATGTACAAACCCTCAGACTGTCTTTTGTAAATACAATCGAAAGCCTTATGCAGAATGAGAAAGGAGATGACATGATCTCTTGTGCTTTTCCATGAAAAAGAATGATTCTATGTTGAGAAAGAATGATCTGAATGGCAATGATGGAGCAGGCAATCTGGTTAGAAGGCTGGGAGAAAGAAGACAGTGGCCTAGATAGATGTTTTATAAATCATGTCCTAAGAATTTGTGGACTAAATGTGAGACTTCTAGATTTTTGGGTCAAGCAACTGAACATCATTCAATTTACTAAATAAATAAGCTAAAGACAGAGAATGTTTGATTAGTAGACAGGGAATTAAATATTCTGTTTGTTTATATCAAGTTTGAGATACTCTTAAGTGGGCAATTGAATACATTAATTAAGAGTTCAAGGGAAGACTATTGCTCCTCCCTTGAACTCTTAATTAATTGTTAATTAAACAGTTTAGGTTGCTAAACTACCATGGGGGCATTTAGATGATATTCAGAGCTCCAAAATTAGTGAGGTCACCTATGTAGAGTGTGGACAAACAAAACTTAGTGATAAATATAGTAGGTAAATTGTGGTAGAAAGAGTAAACATAATTGAAACTCAGAACACACTGCTTTGGAAAGAATATCAGGAATTCATTAACTCATTCACCTTTAATGAAAATGGCATAGATAGGAAATTAGATCTTCAGAAAATAAAATAATTACTGCTAGACAAAATAAACCTTCAATAGCTATGCACACCCTCATAAACAGAGGAATCCACAGTCTTACCTCAGTCATGGTCATCATTTCATTACGACATTTATCTAATTGATTTTGCAATTCACTTTGGCTCTCCAATAGTTGTAAACCATACTGTGCAGCTTTTAGTCGCTCTTTTTCAACCTCTTTGAGCTTGCTTCGAAGATCTGCAATATCTGCCTCCATGTTCTTTTCCTGTTTTTAGCCTATTATAAATAGAAGAAATACAATTTTTTGAGCTTAAACAAAAAAAACCCCCTACAATAAAACCAATAATAAAGGAACCATGTATCCCCAGTGCTACTATCATATAAAAACATAATATTAAGATTTTATTCCTGACTTGTAAGGAGTCAAATTTGCATTCTTGTTCTAAGAGCAAAAATTGTTCTGATAATTATTTTACTTGAGTTGAGACCAAACCAAAAAGAACAGAAAAAAAAAAAATACACTTAATTGTGCTCCTAAGAAACTCAACATTAGGAAACTATTCAATTGTTATATGTTAAATGTCCATAATTACTAAGGTAGAATTAGTCTCATAACTGTGTTACTGTCAAAATAATCAAAGTAGAAAGAGAGCAATGACAGAAACCAAGAAACTTTATGGTATGCATGCATGACTGCTACTTAAGAGTATAAAAAGACAGTTTTAAATCAGACTTACAAGATAAAGCAAAGAATATCCTGTCTTATTTTTTATAGTAGTACTACTTTGCTGAATGTATTTGTTTCTTTGGAAACAGATTCACATTATTTTTCTAATTACTCTTAACAGAGTATGTAAAATAGAAACTATGTTCACAGCAATTTCCAGGCTAAGCCTTACAAGTTTATACATAGGATAACTGTACTTTAACTTAACCTCATTTATTGTCCCTTCCTCTTTGGCCCTAGTCCCTTTAAGCCAAACTGAAACTGGACTTTGCTTTCATAGAGCATCAGATGATTCTCTATGTCTTAAGTTTATAGAAATATGCATTTAACAAACATTTACTGAATGCCCCATTAGCTAGGCTTCATTCTGGGCACTTCAGATCATTATGGTGTAAAACTGGCAAAGTTACTCTTTCATTAAACTTACATTCCAAGAGGGGAAAATAATAAGTAACAGCATAATAATTAAATACATTAGAAAATAGAATTGGAAGAAGAAGAAAAAAGCTCAAAAGAGATACGTGGTGTAAATAGGAGACAAAAGATGGGAAATAGGTATGCATCATTGTGGGGAAGAATGTTCCAGGCAGATGGGAAACCCTAATATGGAAAAAGAGTTCAAGATATGAACTAGAATTTAGGTCACAGATAATAAAGGAGCCGCCTTGTTTCATCACCTTCAATACAAGGAGGGTAATGACCATCTTACAGGCTTATTGAGAACATTAAACATGATAATGGATGGAATACAAATAGGGCAGGGAGACACGCATGATTTGAAAGTTTCGAGCAACGTTTTAAAAAAGTAAACAAAGGACAAAATTCATCTTGACGTTTTACTTGACCCAATGCATCCAAAATATCATTTCAACTTGTAATCATAATAATTGCCAGAGATACAGCTCTTGTGGGATACTACCTTTAAAATCCAGTGTATAATTTACATTTAATTCGGGTTGCCACAGTGGCTAGGGGGCCATCGTACTGGACAACGCACCTCCAGGGGCCATCAGTCTGAGGCCCCCAGCAGCCGCCTGGCCTTCCATATTTATCCAGAGTTCCCCAGAGAAGCGAGAACGTCCAACCGAAAACTGGGGCCCGACTGGAAGCCAGCTTATAAGAATTTAGGGTTCCGGAATCCAAGGCGTTCCGGCCAAAGCGTCCGCCAAGACCCCGGCCCCAGGCTTCCTCAAGCCCTGCTCCCCGCCGCCTACCGCTCCTCTCCACTCTCACTAGTCTTTACCTCTGTAGTCCTCACTCCTTCCCCCAGCTGCTGGCAAGAGCTGAGAGGTCTGGGCGTCCAGATCCGTGATGCTAACCTCAGCCTGCCAGAGAGTTGCGGTCCCATTCATTTACCTAGTAGTCCTGTAAGCGCCAGGGCTTTTTGAACACACTTCCCGCGAGAACTCTCACTTCTCATGAAACGTTCCTCTAACAGCGCGAGAAAAGCCAACGCCGAGGAGCGTTCGGCAGAAGCGCCCCGCCCCCCCCAACGACTGCGCAGGTGCGGGTGGCGAGCCCTGGGCTGGCGCAGGCGCGGACCTGGCCTCTTGGCGTGTCAGTTTTACCTCAGGTGGTTTTCCAGGCTTTCGTCTAGGTGTCTGCTTAAAATTGCTATGTTTGTGGGGCTTGTGGTTGTTTATGACAGGGCCTTCTGGAGGGACAGTGTCGGTTGGCGGGGATGGGTGGGACTGACCTTGGGGGCCGTTGTCAGCGTTGTCCACCCACCAACGGACTGTGCGCGTGCCCTCGGAGGACCTTCCAGCAGAATCTCTTGTGGTTCTAGGACCCGGAGTCTGGGTGGCGATGTGGGTCCACGGTTACCATGTGGCTTTGTGCCCCAACTTGTAGCGCCTTGGCGCCAAGTTGCACACGATACCTGTCACCAGAGGAAAGCAAAGCCCCAGGAAGAAAAAATGGCTGTCTTAAGTGACAGAATCACAGTATGAACTAATGCAGTCCGATTCCAGAACCCAGGCTCTTGAGAGCATGCGTGTTTAAATAATTTTGTTTTGTTAACCTAGTGTCTATACGTTATTTAAAAATTTAAGCACTCATAAAGAATGGCGTCCAACGTTTAGCGAACACTGCTGAGTCCTAGTAACCGTTATGGGGTCATCTTTTCTTGCCTATTTTAGGACTTGGTTTTTGACTCCCCTCCCTTCCATCATCAGCTTTTTTTCTTTTCTGTTGGACCGTCCCTCTCCACAGAAAAAAATGTTGTAATAACTGCCATTGCAAAGTGATAATAGTAATAATAATAATAATAGATAAAATTTTGTGATAATTCCCATTGCAAAATAACAACAACAACAACAATTTCCCTGACTCCAATCAGGTACAATCCCATTTGATTGCTTCCCTTTGTAACAAAACACCTTAAAAAATTTTTTTACAATTACTAACTTCATTTTCTTACATTTTATCCCTGCCTGCTCCAACTTCAGCTAGGGTTCAATTCCAACCAATATAGTGAAATGACACCTCAAGATCACCAGTCATTTTTTTTTTTTTTTTTTTTTGGTACTGGGAATTGGACTACTTGCCTTGTATGTGCTAAGCATGTGCTCTACCACTGAGCTACACCTCAGTCCACCAGTGATTTGTATCTTGCAACATCAAGTAGTCAATAATTAGTTCTTCCTTCTGCTGAAATTTGTCAAGAGTTGATTGCTTTCATTGAATTTTTGTTTTATGTCTTGGGGTGCCACACTCTCCTTGATTTTTCCTCTTTTCACTTTATTTTGGATACTTTTATTCTGACTGAGTAGACCAGATTACAAAAGAATAATCTCAGTTTTAAGATAAGCAACAAAGATAACAGATGCATCTGGGGCCTGAATGAACCAAATGTTCATTCATTTTTAATCAACCCTTGTGTTCTTTGATAAATGAAATAAATACCATTTCCCCTGTCATTTAACAAAGATTCCTCAACTCAGAAGTCAGGAAGACACTATTCTAGCCTGGACCAGTAATGAAATGAAATAACTAATCTAAAGTTCTTTCTTAACATTTTTTTTAACCTCCTTTTACAGGAGAAAGTAAACTCAGTATCATCATTTATGTAAAGGATTGAGTGGCCACCGTGAGGTAGACATAGTGGAAGGAATTCAGAGATATGATAACTACTTTCTGGGAGATGCTTACAACATAGTGGAGTATTGAGAAATATAAAAGTAACTATAGGGTTGTATATGAATGCCACTTGCGTGGTATAAGCCTTACAGTAAATATTATATGGACAGATATGTTTTGTTTGGTCATTTAAAACTTCGCAGTGTAGGTGACATTTTAAGAAAAGTCTTGAGGATGGCAGAGCTAAGGAGGAATGAATTCAGGAAGAGGGAACAGCATTATCAAAGTCATAGAACCTACTCATATAAAAATTGTTAGATAAAATTTGTCGGAGGACATAAATTTGGAGTAGACTCCTGTACAGGGTTCAGTAAACCAAACCAATATGAAAGCACTCTTGCTAAATGTTTAATGAATAGCTGGCCTTCAGTCAATTTCTACGATTGAGCTTCAGTTTACCCTAAGTAGCTACCTGATTCAAATCAGTCAAGGTTCTGAGATGTAACCCATTAAGCTATCAATATGCCTTATTTTTGTTTACTATCCATAAATAACTGTCTGATCATGTTGCTGGAAGGAGGTCTTTGAACTTGTGATCGTGCAGACTGCCCAATTTTAGAGTTGTTAAAGCCAATTATGATTTTTAAATTAGTTGCAATTTGTCGAGGAATGGTCTAATGAGAGTGCTACCAGTACCACCACTAGACACTAGATGTCACAAGTGAAATGAATTCTAAAGAGTCTCCGCTTTTGTTAACATACTTTGGATTTATAGTTCAAGATGCAGATTCCTATACCCGGATAAGGTCCAGATACCATTCCTTAAATGTCAAAGACCAGACAAATAAAAACATAACCTTTTATCTGTAATTTTCAGTTTATATAACGAGAAGCCATTTCCTCCACAGTAGCATAGAAGGGGACTCTAGATACTGGGAAAGAGCAACAAAAAAATCTGGCCTACTTCCCATCATAACTCCTAATATTATAGCTGTTCAAAATGTAGATAGAAAGCTGTAGTGCGCTTGTTATCTTTCCTTCATTGTGACTGCTTTAGACTGTTTAGTTAGCAGAAATGGTGTAGAAGGAGGTGTTGTATTGCATTGACAAGCTGTGTTTATTTTGACACAAACTTATTTAATAGTTGCTTTTGGTACTACAGATGAAGTCTTCATGCTCAAGGAGCTTAGAGTTTAGAGAAGAGGCATTCCCAAACAATGAATTCTTATTTAGGGGATGAATAGTTTCTTGTTCCTTCACATTGGGTAGAGTTGTAAGCCAGTTTTTGGTGGGATCAAGCAAAAACAAGCTCAGGACTCTGCAACACAGAATCTTAAAATAAGAATTAGATGATTTAATAAAGTTCTATGATTCATAGGATGGACTTGGAGGTGATGTTCTGGAAGTTACACTCAAGGCTGTGGTCATTGAAGCCTTCAAAACGGCTGAGATGGAGAAGAGAGAAGAGAGGACTGAGTGC